TTTTTTTTAAATTTGTTGACCGAGTCAAGCCGACCCGTGGCCTAATATTGGACCGTTGGCAACCCGCTAATCTGGATTGTTGAAAGCTTTTGACTGTTGGTCAAGATCTAGTTATGAATTATTTTTAATATCTTATTAGTCTATTGATAATTATGATAGTTGGGAATGGACCTCACTTAAACTATCGATCTAATAAAATGAACCTCACTTTTTAGCGAATCAAAGTAGAGGTTTTTGTATGCACAATATTGTTTATATCTTACGGGTTCATCATCTAGTCACGAAGTTGGGATGGCCCCGCCCGCCTGTTCGATCAGAATCGATCGAATCGATCGAATCGATCGAATCGACCCTGAAACGACCCTGAACTGAGTCCGTAGTTTTTTATCGGGAAAAGTCAGGACTCGTGTGTAAAAAATTTTCACCAGGTGGGCTGTGTCCGGGCCGGCCCTCGATACGGCCCGCCATATTTACCTTTTTTTTAATTTGTTGACCGAGTCAAGTCGGGTCGTGCTTGCGGGCCGAGTCCAGGCCGACCCGCCAATATTTCCTTTTTTTATTTAAACTTACTTAAATTTGTTGATATTTTTATTAGGAGGGTGTATTCAATTGAGATTTTTAAGAACTTTTTAAAACTTTTTAAATTTGATGACTTTTGTGGACTTTGTAGAACTTTTATGACTTTGGTGGACTTTTTGAGACTTTCAGAGAATTTTCATCAGTGACTTTTTAAGACTTTCATAATGGACTTTTTAAAACTTATTGAGACTTTTATATACTTACAGTTATAATATTATGTTTGAATAAAATATTAATAAATGTAACATAATAACTAATATAAACAAGAATAAATGAAAAAACAAAAAGATGATGTATATATTAATCCTCCAAAAATTTATGAATAAACTCATTTTTATCCGAAATGAGTTATTCACGAACAAATTGTTTAGGATTTTAGATTTATTAAACGAGTAAATCGATCCGAGCTTCAACGAGTCGAATCGAGCAGTGCCTTATATTTGTTTGTTAAAAGAGTACAAGGTCAAATATGTGTTAGACATCTCTACTACAACGACACTTATAATAAACTCAAATTAAGATATATTTATTTAATTATTTATTGATTTTATTTTTATATTTTTTATTTTTTATATTTTTTGCATAATGTTGTTATATTATAAAATATTATTAGGTTATATTTTTACAAGATACAAACATGCCGAAAAACACTAATTGTATCTTATAATATTATCAATAATATTCAAAACATTTCAATATTAACAAATAAAATATTTGAAAATAAAATATTTTTTTTTAATATTTTGAAATAAACATTTACAAATAAAAATAAAGAACAAATAAATTATTTGCAAGTGTAACTATGGAAGCATTAACCTTTGAAAAGTCAAATTCACAAGATAGCAAAATAAGAGAATAAAGTATACACATACAAAATAAGATAATAAAGAATGTATAAAATAAAAAAAAGATCACAATAATATGTAATGAAAATAAAACTTACACAAGGTATCAAAATAAATAAGTAAAATAATAGAGCATGAAAATGATATGGGATACAAAATCGTACTAGAAAGCAAAAAAAAGAGAGAGCGTGAAAAGAGTCACATAAGTCCAACAAAATCTCACCAATATTGATGAGATTTCTGTTGAGACTTTTCCTTTGTAATTTTGTCACAAAGTCTCCAAAAGTCTCAAAATTTAAAAAGTCTCACAAAGTCTTTCTGTTTTGAATATCGGGTGACTTTTAAAAACTCTCAGAATGTTTTAATTGAATACCCTAAGACTTTTAAAGACTTATTAAAAGTCATTAAAAGTCTCAATTGAATACATGTAAACTTCTTAGAAGTCTTTAAAAGTTTTAATTGAATACACCAGAATTCTACAAGTCTTAAAAAGTCTAAAGTTGCAATTGAATACAACCTCCTTAATCTTATTTTGTGTTATAATTAAAATAGTATGAAATGTTAAATAAATGTTATTTAGAGAAAAAGACAATATTATATTTTATTTAAATTTTAACTTTTTAATTTTAGTTGCACAAATTTAGTTTTAGCTAAATTTGATTCTATTAAAATATGATTTTATTAAAAAAATATTTTGTCATTATTAAATATGAATACGATATTATTAAAATTATATTAAAAATAAGTGTATATTATAAAATAACAATTCAATATACTTTTAAAAAATTGTTGCATGGGTTGATGCTATATTAATTATTGTAAGATATTTAGGAAAGTAGTGGGGTTATATGTGGAAAAAAATCAAATTATTGAGGAAACATTCACGTTGGACGTTTCTGGATATATTAAGTTTTCTTTAAAGAAGTTTGTTTTTGTCATAAACTTAACTATCAGACGTTCCATAGGGACTTATGATTCCTGTTGAGACATTTATTTGACTTCCATGCTTAGTTCCATGTTGGACCTTTGCTTGGCTACCAAGCATAGCTTCTGGACGTTTGCTTTCATAGGCAAGCTTCAATCAAGAACGTTTAGTATGCTATAAAGCTTAACCGTTGGACATTTCACATGATCTCAAGCTTTTCAGTTAGATGTTTACTTGACATCCAAGCTTTGCTACTGGACGTTTGTTTTCACAGTGAAGCTTCCATGTTAGACGTTTGTCTACCTTATAAGCTTAGTTTGTGGACGTTTGTTTACATAGTGAAGCTTCCATGTTGGACGTTTTCCTGCCTTACAAGCTTAGCTTCTGGACGTTTCACATGGCCCAAGCTTACAATTTAGACGTTTAGCGGCATAATAAGCTTGCGGTGTAAAAATTTTAAATGTGTTGCCCCTACGTTTCTCTTCAGAGTCGGGCTTCGTATTTGGACGTTTCCTTGGCTTTCAAGCATAGGCCTTAGACGTTTGTCTTCACAGTCGGGCTTCTTTGTTGGAGGTTTCTTTCACTGCCAAACTTAGCTTCTAGACGTTTCTTTGGCTCCCGAACTTAGTTGATAGACGTTTAAAGCATTTTTTTTCATTAACTTTTTTTACCACATAGATATTTTTGTAAATTTACAATTTTTTAATATTTTTTTTGGGCGACAAGTAGTAATTTAGGGCGACAAATAACAACACCCTTGATTAACTAAAAAAATTAGTAAAAAAAATGATTTGCAATTCACACACTTTTATAACTATCAAATGTACAATTCGATACAAAAAAACGTACAATTCGATAGGCAATCTGAGCCCTCGGCCCCCCGAACATATCCCCCATTTCTGTGATTGCCTGAGACAGATTTGGAACTCGAATCGGATGAGGATTGGCCGCCGGTGCTCGTTGCTTCATCCGCCAAGCCGCCAGGCCTAGCAGCTGCTGGTTGCTGTTGGTGGCCGTCAAGTGCCTGCTCCTACCCGAATTAGAAGGTATGGTTCTATGGTGTAGGGCTTGAAAACTAACAATGTTAATTCCAATTAATTCCTCTGTTGCATATTTGCCCGTTTTATTAGTTTTTTGTTGTTGTTACGCCCAGATTAGGCATACATATATATCATATATGCACGCATCAAAACTAACAATGTTAATTTGCTGAAGAATCTTGCTGCAGAGTTGGGCAAAATAAGAAAATAAAAAATGAAAGTTTATGCAGGCTTCTTGCAGTGGCAACTTTTGAAAGTGATACTTAGTAGTATTTCTTGATACTTTTTTGTGATCCATCTGTGTTCACGAATTATATCGTAGCATAATCAGTTGAATATAGGTTCATATATCGATTTGATGTAACCGTACTTTAAAACGACGCTTGCAATCACAATGGAGAAAATAATGCCGCCTGGAGCAATTTGGGAGAATTTTCTCGAAGATTTCTACTTTGCCGGTGTTAATCATCAAATTTGTGTAGTTTAGGTTGGATTTTATCAAACTATAATGTTTAGGTTGCTAATCCAAAATACACGTGTAAAGTTCAGGTTGTAATAAAATTTTCTTTCCCTATTTTCTTCCTTGAATCACTCTAGGCTGGTTTCTTTTAAATCAGCACTATAAATCAGAAATATTCAACAGGCATCACTATTTGTATTTTCATGTTATATTTGAAAAGTTTTATTCATTTTAACTATATCTATTATCGACTGAATATTTAATGCTTACTGATAATTCATTCATTTGAAAGAAATGATGGTTCCCTTGTAGCATATTTTATCATTCATTTTCGTGGTTTTCTTCGCAAGCTTCTTGTTTTGAGGTATTTAAACATATACTACTTGTGAAACACTCAATTATGGTGCAATTGATGTGTTCTCTTTCAATTTTTTTTTTTTATGTTTCCAGGTTGTTGAGGTTCACTCCATCTCTTGTAATACATTCCCGAGATTTGTCTTACTGCTGCATCATATCAGATTCGGTACCTGAGCTCATATCCATGCTACATAGTTAGATTATTTATTGTTTTTCGAGAAAGACCCTTAAAATTTGCATGTTTGATTGGCTTCAAGCATATGGAACCTTGATATTGCTTCTTTGCATCGGTTCTTAACTGTAGGTAAAGGTTTATAATTTTTCAAATGTTGGGTTTATTTTGTTCGTTACTCAGTTTGAAATTATATTGAGCGTCTTAAATTTACCTATGATATCTGATTGTGATAGTTTTTTGGAAGAGTTGTTTGTTGTTTGGTTTGAACTAATTGGAGTCTTTGGATAAACTTAGAGAATTTCAATTTTCAGTTTTGATGGAAAATGTAAAAAGAAAAGTTGGATTTGACTTGAGAGTTTTACATCCTAAAATTAGTGGCTTAATATCTGAAACTTTAATTTGATATTTTACGTGCAAATGGATTATGATTGAGCTGGAATCTGTTATCAAGGTATCAAAAACATCGGGTGATTGATTGTTAAAATGCAAAACACTTAGCACATGGGAAGGAGAGATGGATTCTAATGGATTCTAACTTCCCTGCTACACTTGCTCATTCTGAAATCCGTTTAATGCAAATTTATGCGATCAGACTGCACAACTTACTTCAGTAGATCAACAGAAGGTGGCCTTCGCTAGGGACCCCTTCCTGTATATATATAGATGGACTTCAAAACTGTTCCTGCTGTTGGTAGATTAATGGGGGCTTAGTTTAGTAATGTAGCTTAGAAATTAAGCTGAAGTAGAAGCATAAATGCTGAATGCATTGCACAACATTATTTTTTTGTTTTATCACTTATATCCTCCCCTACTTTTCTGTATCCTTTCCAGACTTAGTTGTTATTTACCTACATGCCACTTTAGGACTCAGAAGTTAGGGGCCTAACGGGGCATGACTATATAGTGACCCATTGTTGGGAAAGGATTTATATAGTTCACACAGCTTTTGGTATATCCATTCCATATAGCTTCATGTTCTTAAAGAGATACAGTAAATGAATATAAATTTTATTTTCATATTCAACATGAGGATTTTCTTTTAATATTTCCTAATTCGTGTGAATTTCAAACTGTCTGCAGAGGGAATTTTAAACTCGAACCAGAAAAACGACATGAGTGGTGCACGAACGGCTTTCTCATACTGTGTCCAACAAGTACGGAACTATGATTATCACCACTACCTTTGCCTTCTGGAGCTTCCCCTAAACATGAGAAGATCAGCTTTCGCACTCAGAGCTTTTAACGTCGAGACAGCTAGGGCCATGGATGTTGCTTCCGATCCAAGGATCGGCCTCATGCGCCTGCTCTGGTGGCAGGAAGCCATTGACAAGATATTTTCCAACAAGTTAGTCGAGCATCCAGTGGCTCAGGCGTTGGCCTCTGTGATATCCGAGCATAAGTTTAGCAAGAGCTGGCTCAAAAGATCTGTCCAAGCTCGGATAGATGATGCAAGGAGAGATGTTTCTAATATTCCAGAGACTATAGAGGACTTGGAGAGGTATGCTGAAGACACCATGTCTACAATTTTGTACTCAACACTTGAAGCAGGTATCTTCCTTTCCCTTCTTTTTTTTTTATTTAATTTAATAAGAAATCAGTTTTTCGATACTGTAATAAGTGAATTATAGTTAGGGGCGAGGTGTCTGCCGAGTATCATAAAGGTAATAAGTGATAATTGCAAAAACCACTCCCAAGTTTCACTTTCATTTTACCCCCCCAAACAATTGGTTGACCTGTGATTATCACCCTAGACTTTTAGGAGTATTACAAATAAGCCTAGCTGGCAGTTTCTGCAATTAACAAAGTCGGATGGTATTATTTATATATAATTTTTCCAAACCTTAAGATGGTTTTATCCTATAGCTGTCCCCAAAGGCCAAAGCTAATAATCCTCAGTCATCTATGATTAAACTTGTAATGCCCCTGAACTTAATTCTAAAACAGATGGTATCAGGTCTACAGCAGCAGACCATGCCGCATCACATATCGGTAAAGCTAGCGGGCTTGCTTTGCTGCTTAGGTCTCTTCCATACCATGCTGGGCGCAACCGTCATTTTTTATATGTACCCGCTGATGTGGCGAAAAAACATGGCCTGCTCGTGAATAAGTCGGAAAATCTTGTAGATTCTCGTGAGGGGCTATGCAGTGCCGTGTATGAGATGGCATCTGTTGCCAATGCTCATCTGCAGAAAGCCCGTGAGTTGGCCGAGACTGTGCCAGTTGAGGCCCGCCCGGTGATGCTGCCAGCCGTGCCAACGCAGTTTGTGCTGGACACATTGAGACGTGTACAGTTTGATGTCTTTGACCCTAGGCTGACCCGAGGTATTTTAGGGGTTCCTCCATTGTGGTTCCAACTGACACTCAAGTACTATTCTTGGAGAGGAAGATACTGAAGAAATCGTTACCACATGTAAGGTTTCTATTTATATACAATATCGTTATTTTACATTTGTTTGAAACCTTTCTCAGGCCCGTACTTGTGATAAATTGTAGTTAATTCCAGGCATGAATATTTGATACTTTTGCATTATTGAGGTGCGCTGAATGCATGTGGGCACATTATTTTGGCTTCTTGCTTTAGTGTGCATTTTTGGGTCACAGATAACTGGAACAAATCTTGTGGAACAAATCTTGAGGAGCAACTGAAGATGCTTGCCGGCATTTTTTTTTTTTTTTGGAGAAGATGGCTTGCAAGCAAAATCAGTAGAAACTCAGTTGAAGGCTGAAGCGTCGAAATAAAAGTACGTTGGTTTGCGTAATTGCATCTTCTTAGTTAATTACAAATGATCTCTGATTTTGCGCCCAATTTATTATAAAAATAGTTTTTAAAAATGAAAGCTATTTATTGAAATTACAAACACTTGTCTTGAGGTTTTTATACTTGATATTTTACAAAATGACATTCTTCTACGCGTGCAATTTGTTAAATGAGGTTGTAACACCCCGCCTAATTATTCTAGAATTTATAAAATCAGAGTAAAATTTTTGTTTTTTATTTTCGAAAAACTCTTTAACTTTATTTTCAAAAATACTCATACTAACTCGCGGGATGCTACTAACTCAAACTCTTTCTCATACAGACGTAAATAAATACATGCAACTTAATCAAATCCGTTATATAATACACGGAGATAGATGAATTATACATGCATACGTCTGAAGTCTCATATAATAACATGCTAAGTCTGAAATGTGTGAAAGCTAAAACATAATATGTCTTCACATAGAAATAATAATACATGTTCGAGTGAATGACATGTAAATGCGTTACAAAAAGTCTGCTAATGACCACGCGCCACTGCCGCTCACGCGTCACGCTCCGCTCCGTCACCTGAAAAAGGTAATGGGGGCGTGAGCAAAACCACTATGCTCTGCAAAGACCAGTACTTAATTATACAACATCGTTAATTTCAATATCATGACTTTAAGTATATAAGTACTGAACTGAACTGAAACTATTCTGATCTCGGCTTCTAAAATTCTCGTAATCGGCATATGAACGCATAATTTATAAGTCTTCGTCTTCTTAAACTAACTTCTTCAACTTTACCCTGCGCACGGTTGGTTCTTCTTCTTGAATTATGGTCGTTGCGATCTCCCACTCAGCTTTCGTTGGATCCTCTGGTGGCTTCTACGGCCTCTCGTCTGGGCATTCTTATACTATCGAAATCTTCCGTGGGTGATAGCTTCTTTTTTGAGACGACGAGTAAGTAGTCGTGGTGTCAAATCGTGATTTGACGTGCGATCCTTGCTCTTGTTTCTGTTATACTCAATCTTCTCCTTCTTTGACTACTAGAGATTACTTCAAACAGGAACATGTCTACTATGGTTCAGCTTCAAGCCTCCAAGGTTCTTCCCGGACTTATGGCTTTTATTTCAAGCCTCCAGGACATACCCGGACCTACGACTCTTATACACTGAAACCCTCGCTTCTTATACTTGCTTGAAGGCATCTTGCCAGTTTTAAGTGAAACAATCTCTAGAGTTAGAACTTTACTCAAGCGTACATAGTTCAGACAATGAAAAATCCACTGTCTTACCTATGTACTGATATCTATCGACTTAATATTCTTCTTAACATTTCCAACACTGATTCGACAAGAAATCTCGGGCAGTCTCTCTCTCTCTCTCTCTCTATCCCTATTTGTTGTCAATGTGGCTCGTCGCACGATTTCTATAACCGTGTGTACGATGATCACGCTTTTCCGTAATGTCTGTCATCTATCCTTCGAAAATGTTGATTTATAGCTAAAACTTGCTTTTCGTGGCCATGGTTGGCCACTGGAATTCGAATGTCGCTCCTCAGGTCGTTCAGAAAAAGACGGTTGCTTTCTTCTCCTCGGTATCGACGAGGTGACAAGCAAACGCGGTCTTACGAGTACAGTTACGCTCGTACTCTTCAACCGAGCGGGCCCCGTGCTGAAGGGCATAAAACTCTTGCTCCATTCTCTCGCGAAAATGGCGCGGCAAAACTCGACTTCCAAAATCTACTTGAGCCACTCTCATGTCAGCTCATAATGCTCCTCCTTCTCTAAACGCCAGTAGTCGTTCCACCAATCTCGGGAATTGGCCTACGACTACGGCATGTTCCCGCTCTGCGGGTGGGTTCAGAGTTCCGCGTGGTGGCTTTCTGGATAGCCACTGACTACTAACACCGTATAGCCGATTAAAAAATAGCTATACTATACTTAGCGAATTTTTACAAATATCCGAAAACACCTAGCTTGGCTAGAGTTCCGGTTTATACTTAACTCTTCTAAGTTCTGACTAGAGTTCTGATATAGTCTAGATTTGGACTTAACTAAACTTTCTAAAATTTTGTCTAGAGTTCTCTTTCTAGTCGGAAGATAGATTGCCCCAAAGGTCTCTTACTATATTCTCATGCACTTGCAGAAATTTAAAAACTTAGGTGACTTACCTTGGAGTCGGCGCGGCGTGAGGGTGGCGTAGTCATGCTTTTCTAAACTCTTTAAGTATACAGAACCACTAAGTGGCTTTGATACCAACTGTAACACCCCTCCTAATTATTCTAGAATTTATAAAATCAAAGTAAAATTTTTGCTTTTTATTTTCGAAAAAACTTTTTTAACTTTATTTTCGAAAATACTCGTACTAACTCGCGGGATGCTACTAACTTAAACTCTTTCTCATGCAGACGTAAATAAATACATGCAACCTAATCAAATCCGTTATATAAATGTACCACGGAGATAAAAGCATTAATCATGCATAAGTCTGAAATATCTCATAATACATACTAAGTCTGAAATGCGGAAGGTATCATACTGAATGACGCATAATAATAATAATAATAATAATAATAATAATACATGTTCATATGAATGACATGTAAAATGCGTTACAAAAAGACTGCTCATGACCACGCGCCACTGATGTTCACGCGCCATGCGCCGCTCCATCGCCTGAAAAACGTAATGGGGGCGTGAGCAAAACCACTATGTTCCGCAAAGACCAGTACTTAATTAAACAGCATCGTTAATTTCAATATCATGACTTTAAGTATATAAGTACTGAACTGAACTGAAACTATTCCGATCTCGGCATAAAACCGCAAGTTCATGTGCACACCCCAACCGGAACATTAAGGCCCGCTCAGCCTCCAGGTCGGGACCACAAGCGGAACATTAAGGTCCGCTCAGCCTCTAGCCTGGGCGATAACTATTTTCATACATACCTCGGACATGGTACGGAAATTAAAGACGATGTATAACCAGTACATGACCCCCACCTGGTAAACTGCTACTGATGCAAGTGCTGGCTGAATGGTAGCTGTTGGAGGCTCGACTCTCTTTAAGCTACACAAATTTTTTAATAGAAAGTACTAAGTACTAAGCTCAAACTGAAAACTTGGTTCTTATTATTATCGGATCTTACTAGGTCCTCTCGCTCGATTATAAAATTATTTAATCTGAATTTAGAGACTTGAGCTATTTTGGAAGGATTTGTTGACTTTGAGACATTCTAGAGTTCTTTGAAATATTTCTAAGTCTGGTCTGCTTATCTGATTTTTCTGATCTAACTTATCTGACTGACCTGATCTTATTTGAACTATCTTATTCTGATCTGACTTATCTGGCTGGGTTCGGAGAGATACTGAAACTCGATTCACGCTCAAACCGGTATTCTGAACTGCTATTCTCGAATCGTCCAGACTATCCGGACCGATTCGGCTGAACTGGACCGGCGGCTCGGTCTGAGCCGGCCGGTTGCTCGTCTGACTGGGCGCAACTCGGTTTAACCGCGGTTTGGGTACAAACGCACAGACACGACATCAACCGACACACAACTTTTCTACTCCAATCTAGAGTTCATCCGATCTGACCGGGAAAAGGCCGAACTAGGGTTTCTACTCAACCGGCTATCTATCTCGTTTCAAGCCAAAACTCAAACTCTAAGTTTAACGTGATTTTAGGCCCAACAACTGCAGCTAATTCTTAACCGGATAATATCTAGCAATTTTCACAAAAAGCAGCTAAAGCCCCAAATTATTAGGCATACCAAACAGTCTCTAAAATTTACGAAATTTTAATCATATCACCTTTAGCATTTATAAGATTTTTCCGTAAAGTTTCAACGCATTTCGAGGCCTTTAGCATTTTTATCAAAAACCGAGCATATCGAGTACATATTAAACAAATTCGGATAAAATAGTAAACGGACACAAAAAATCACAAAACTTAACATATAATCTACTTAACATGTATAAAGTCCAAGTCAAAAGATCAAGTCTCAAGTCAACACTTATCACTTTTAACCCGAAATTACTACGTCCGACAATTTACTCGAACCGCTAGTTCGCCTATCAAACGGACATAAAAAATTGAACCGATTATATCTTAAGCCTCAAGTCAACGGGGAGAATTTTATCATATTTATTTCGGTATTTTATCACGACTATATCAAAAGTTTCGAAAAATCGCTTTAAGTTCAAATGTCCCTATTTTTCTAAAAATCACTCAAATCAATCATCTTTTATTTCTTATCTCATTATAATCGTCAAGTCTAAGCCATATAATTCAAGTTTTAACGATTATACCTAAGATGTTCGAAAACGAGCGGTTCGGGAATAGATCGGGCTAAGAAATGGTCAAAGGAGCAAAATGGGTCGGATCTAAAGCTGTGGGGTCGGATCTTGGAGCTAAGATGTTTAATGCCTTTATCTCCGTGGTACATTTATATAACGAATTTGATTAGGTTGCATGTATTTATTTACGTCGGCATGAGAAAGAGTTTAAGTTAGTAGCATCCCGCGAGTTAGTATGAGTATTTTTGAAAATAAAGTTAAAGAGTTTTTCGAAAATAAAAAGCAAAAATTTTACTCTCATTTTATAAATTCTAGAATAATTAGGCGGGGTGTTACAGAGGTTGTACTTGTGATTTTCGACAGATCTATATATAGTACTTGGTCATTTTTAACCTCGATGCTTTGCTTCAACAGGTATTGTTGGGTGTAGAAGAGATCTCTTTTCGAATGATTTATCCCGGAAGTGTTGAAGTTTTACAGAATTTTGCGGCCTGGCATATTATTGAATCCTTCTAAAGATATAATCGTCGAATCATATCATATTTTTTTGTGTGTGTGACGGTTAACGATGTTAGACTCTTACCGGCAAGTAAGGACTTTCAACCTCTGTAGTCTGTCCAACAATAAAGTCTGCAAATGCTAATTAAGCTATGATGTTGTTGTTTGAATGAAAAACAATATCTTAAACATGAATGCAGGAACTGTTTTAGGCATTTTTTTTATTAAATATTTTTCTCTGCTTTCTTTTTCTTCAATGTGCATATACGGTCATCTTGTCCTTTTTGAACACAAATACAAATCTGGATGACTTTTTTTTTTAAGGAAAAAAAAAATGTTAGTGTCCAAAATTTTTATTAGGTCCAAATTCCCTCAAAAAATTCAAAGGATTAAATAAAAATTAAATGCTAGTTGATTTCTAAACAGAACGAAGCCAGCCATAAAATGTTGAAAAGAGGACCCAAAAGAAGGAAACTGGTGGCTATCTACCGGGAAAACTACCGAAGGACTTCCATATTTTATGGTTACAATCAAAAAAATACTCTTATCTTCATAGTTTAGCAAAGTGTGATAATGAGTGTATTATAAATTAAATATATAATTAACGTTAATAGATCGTATGAACCGAGAATTGGTTTATCGACCAGTTTGGTTCGCTTGAATAAAATGTTTGTTAGAGAACCAGTCAACACCAGTCGGTCAGGCTGGTAGTATCGGTACGATTTTTTAAATAAATTTTGTTATATTTTAATTTTTTACAATATAAATAAATATATATATTTAAATATAATGGTATTTATAAATTATTTATCATTTAGTTTAAACATTAAAATTTTTTAAATCGTTCATATATTTAATAAACATTTTTTAATAAATTTATAATAAAAAGTACTATACATATATTAAAATATTAATAATTTAAATTTTGATGCAACTAATAAATAATTTGATCGGTTTGAAAACAGTCCCCTCCCGATACTTTGAATTTACCATAGATTAATAAAACTGTAATGCAATATCATTCTGTTCACATAAATATTAATAAAATAATAAATATATAAGCGCCTATAAATCCTTGAACATGTAAAAACATTCTTAATATGATTATTTGGACTATGAACTACATTACATTTACTGTAATAAAGTGTTTTTAATATTAAAATAATATTTTGCTCAATAATCGATTTTGTGTGGTCGAACTAACCCATAACTTGGTCACTCGGGATCAACCTCAGTTGTGTCATTGACTCATAACTCGGCCACCCGGGATCGACCTTAGTTGTGTCATGTTTTTGGACTATTTTAAAATACCAACTAATACTGAACATTTACCTAATTACATCACTCGATTGATCAAATGAAATATTCTTATGTTCCTTAAATATATGTAACTTTATGAAATAAAATTATTTTATGATTCATATAGTAAATATTTGTAACAAATGGTAATGTATTAAGAGTATAAATTTTATATTTAAAGATAATTTACTTATTTCTTACTTTATGTATATTTATTAAAAAAAGCATATTTTAAAATTTTAAAATTAATCTATTATGAAAAATTTGCATTTACCATTACTTCAAATTAATTATTTTTTATTAATTTATTTTTGTAACGAGAAATAATTAACACAAACTTTTTAAACATCATGATGATTTTATATGTAATTAAAACACTCCAAATATTCGATTTAGCATAGTAGTGTAAATTACTAATTTTATAGTTTGAGATTTATTCTGGAAAATGTAATACCAAAATTGTTGGTCATCCATTTTTAAAATATACTTGCATTTTTAAATAAATTTATCGAATAATAATTGTTTTCAAATAAAAAAAAAAAAAAAATTGACAATATTTTGGTCTACAATTTTGAAAATTAAAGTGTAATATAAGAAGCCAACAAAGTATGACAATATTTAAGCATACAATTTTGAAAACTATATTTCATTCAAAAGAATAAAAGTTAATTTTAGATTTTATTCAAAAAAAATCCTTAATAAGTAAGTCAAACTATTTCAACAAGAAGTCAACTTTTCACTTTTAAATTATTCATCAACATCTTTTAATATATATTGATTGCAAACACGCAAACAAAACTCTAAGGGTGTGATTGGATATAAACATAACCAAAAGAAAATTAATCAGACTCAATTTCACTCGACCACTATTCTCATTATTATCAATATAATTAAACAATATCAACTAATAATTTTTACATATCACATCAATTTTAACTTACTATTCATACACTCACATAATTTTGACTAAACTACTTTCATCTATTTTTTTTCTACACATCAAAATCAACTATAATTATTTTTTTTCATTTAAACTTAAATTCTCACTAACAACTAACCATAACACTTTTAAAAAAAAATAAATAAATTATGGTTAACAAAAAACCAATCAAATTCAAATCCAATCATACCTAAGACTTGACCCAATGAAAATTTATAAAATTCCCAACTAATTTTGTCAAACAATATTGTCTAACTATAATTATATATATAGCATTGTTCATTATAATTCATCTATATCATTTTTTTTTTTTTTTTGGTACAAATTCATCTATATCATTTTTAACATCAGGCTAACTATAATAATATATATAGCATTGTCCATTATAATTCATCTATATCATTTTTAACATCAGGCGCAAGTGGCGGATTACTAGCGGATCCTAACAGCATACCCTATATTTCAAAAATATTTATCGTCCCTCTATCACTACGTATCGTCCTCTTTTGGACAATTTTACCCTAACATTTTTTTAAAAAGTTAAAAAAAATAAAATAAAATAAATAAATAAATAAAAATAAATCTCAATGTCCGGCCGGCAAAATCTGCCGTGCACGGTATCGTCCGCAATGGACGCACCGTGCACGGTGGCAATCGTCGGTAGGACGCACCGTGCACGGTCGGTTTCACCGGTAGGACGCACCGTGCAGGTTCGTCTTTGTTGGTCGGACGACATTTTTTTTTCTTTTATAATCAAATATTTATTTATTATATAAATTATAAAATACAATTTTAATTTATAACATAAATTTTAGAAAAACTAATTATAAAAAAATTATAAATTTTTATTTGTAAAAACTAATTATAAATTATAAAAACTATATATATTATAAAATTGTAAAAATTATAATCTTTTTTAAAATTGTAAAAACTAAATAAATTATAAAATTATAAAAATTATAATTTTTATAAATATTATAAGAACTAAATAAATTATAAAAACTAAATAAATGATAAAATTATAATTTAAAATTATAAATATTATAATTTTAAAAATAAATTATAAAATTATAAAAACTTATATAAAATTATAAAAATATAAAAACTAAATAATTATAAAATAAAAATTATAATTTTTATAAAATTTATAAAACTAAATAAATGATAAAATTGTAATTTTTATAAGAATTATAATTTTTATAATAATTATAAAATTATAAAAACTAACTAAATATATAAATTTTTATTTGTTATAAATTTATAGCAACAATTTTTATTTGTTATAATTTTAATTTATAACATAAACTAATTATAAATTAAAATTATAATTTTTATAATTCATATAATAAATAAAAATTTGATTATTAAAAAAAAAAAAAAGGGGGCCGTCACGCCGGCAAAGACGGACGTACACGATGCATCCCACCGGTGAAACCGATCGTGCACAGTCCGTTCTACCGGCGATTGCCAAGTGCCAACTGAAATTAATATCTCCACTCCATTAATTCATGTGAAACTAATACAAATTTTCTAAATTTCAGGCAATTGTAAAGTATAAAACTTCCAGAGTTCAGCGAATATATACAAACAGAAACAGTAGCAGGTTGAATTACTATCTATTTCAAATCTTAATCACCTGCATCAATCAAGAGCAGCAAAATGACTAATGATACACTCTCAACATTACAGTAAGCACAGGCAGCCGAATGTCGAGAGAAAACCAAATTACAACCAAAAAAAAAAAAAAAAAAAGGAGATTAAGTTGTTGCTCCTTGAGAGCAAAGCAAAATATCATATCAAAAGTTAGTCGTTGTGTTGATAATTGATTAACATGAAGTAAATCGAACCAACCAATAATCGATCAAAACAAAATTGCCTTTCAATCGACCATCATGTGGAGCATGAGTGATACTCGAACATTGTCACAGTATCTCTTGATCAAGTCAAAGTAGTGCATTGCATCTTGAGGTCCGAGTCCTTCCATAAAAAATCGAAACAAGTGAGAATGTGTTTCGCGCATCACATCCAATGATTGTTGCAACACTTTCTCTTGCTGCTTTTTGTTTAACTCAGTTGCTTCCATCAGCGGCAGCAGCTCTCGTTCTTCCTCCTCAAAGTGTTTTCTGCAGTCTTCCTGGTCAAAAGATTAACATATAAATCAACTTAAGGTTTTATCAAGAATAAAAATTTAATCACACTTCATACTCAAAACCTCAGGAGTGTCCTTTCCTAATCTAACTCGAAAAATAAACAAGTCCCGTCATATTTTTAGCTAATACAATATTTCAAATGGGATCCATTTTCCGTGACCAAATTTGGAAAACCCACCTTTAATCTTTTGAGACGAGATGTAAGGTTGATGAGGACCTCTTCATAGTCGGGGCTTCCCGCATTCATGACTCCAATGGTCTTGATTTCTTCTTTGATCCCATTCATTATAGGCAAATGTCGTGCGTGTTCCTCATTCGCGGATTTGCATAACCCTGTGCTTTCGTGTTAAAGATCATCAATGAATTAGAGAAAAGGAAAGAAAGAAGAAAAGAAGAGGAAACAATAAAAGAGAAAAAGAAAAAAAGGTGCGATCGCGTCGAAAAGATCTCCCATGTTTTGTGACATCAAGATAATAGTTCAGTTACAGGCTCTACAACTACAAACACTCAATAGACATCAAAAAAGCATTCACATGATTTGTGGCAACACAGATCAAGCTCCCCACTCTCACGCTATTATATTGTAGCCGATGATCTTCTGGGAAAATGCTCAATCAATTCTCCATCAGCTCTAAACTTATCTGGTTCACAAGTAAAGCATATCAAATACGAATTTACTACTTTGGCCCCTTCTCTTGATTAACCACACAAATCTCGATTATTTGATATCAAAGACCTAAATGCCTATGGAGCAAGAACCAAAATGTACCTCGAGATTCAAAGAATTCGAAAAATTTAGGAGAGGGAAAAAAAATTACCCAAAATGTAGAGTTCTATCCCAAAATTGCTAACCATAAAGCGTAGCAAGTACCAAGCAATCACATTCCTTACCGGTTACTAAGAGGAAATATGGAGGGTTTCCTCACAGTATTATGCTCTTTATCACCCTCTAAAGATCTTCGACTCGAATCAACTCTAATAATGCACATCAAATCTTCATCAACCAAATCATCTCTCATGCTATTATTTATTAATATATAAAATTACCCAATAAAAAAGACAAAACAAAAAGGGCCCCCTATTCTCCCAACTTCTCGGTGCTAGCTCTTCTTAACAACTTACACTTAGGGTTGAGCAACAGTGTGGTTTGCTACAACACTGCAAAAAGCAAAAACCGAACCAACAAAAAAAAAAAAATAGCCGGATCGCACCGTAGCATAGAAAAAACTGAACCGAATCACTTTTGCCCTATCATGACCGATCGAACCGTACTGTACCAAAATGCAAGGTTCAGTTCGGTTTTTGGTATTGCCTCCTATGCACTTGATTTAATTTTGTGCGGTTTGGGTGCAAAATCAAACCGAACCCAACCAAACTTAAAAAACCAAACTTGTAGCAAATAATAATTGCGCCACGGTGTATGAAAAACTGAATTGAAACCGAACCGATAATTTCCACACTAGAAAAAATGAACCAAACCGCACTGAATTGCACGGGTCGGCTCGGTTTATCTCTTTTGATTTGGTTTTGCCCATCCCTACTTAAATCAGGGTCCCACAACCCTATCTAAGTATATCTATATACCCATAAAATTTGACCCCACACCACATTTTATTAGATAAATATGCAATATAATTCAAAAAAAAAAAAATGTAGTTGAAATTGCTTATAATTAAAGCATTATCCAGGCAACAAATTAATAAAAATGATTTTTTTTTCCAAGAAGAAAAAAAAAAAAAAGGAATACCTCGATCAGCGGATTCGAGGATCTGAAAGAGGACGGTCTCCTCCATCTGCGCGTGCTCCAACATCACCTGCAACAGCTGCGAGTAGCTCTTCCCGAACTTCTTCACCTCCATCCTGGGGCTCCCCATCGACGGATCCCCCATCGCTTTACCCCCACGCGCCGCCATGTCCTCCGCCCACTTAACCATCCTCTCCAGGTGCCAGCTCACGCTCCGGTGCTGCAGCACCACGACCCATACCACCACAGGCGTCGTCTCCCCGCACCAACCCCATATGCTGCTGCTGCCGCCCGCCGCCACGGACAGCGGCGGGTCCGGGAACTTGGCGTCCAGGTAGCGCAGGATGTCCTCGACGGAGCCGGAGACGACCTCGGACTGGTAGATGAGGGTCGGGTTCGGGTGGGCATCCGACGGGACGAACTGGAGGGTGACGGGCTTGTAGAGGAGGGCCAATCGGATGTGGGAGGTCGCGAAGCTCTCGGGTTGGCCGTAGAGTCTGATCGTCGGAGGGGGTTTTACCAGCTCCGACGGCGCAATTTCCGCCGTCGATCTGGAAGCATCCCTAAAGCAATTATTTCCCATCCCTAAACCAAATGCTGTGAGTGGAAAATTCCAAGATTTTGGGCAAAAAAGGGGAAAATCAAGAACACAAAAAAAAAAAAAAAGAAACTAAATGGGATTAAATTGCAGAAATTGGCAGATTTATTGTGGTTTGTTAAGGGAATCAAGAAAAGGTGAGAGGGAGAATACTGAGTGAGTGAAGGGCAGTAGAGTGGGGAAGAGCAATGCTTAGAGGCTAAACAACAAAGGTAAAAAAAAACAGGGATTAACAGATATGATGATGACCTTTATTCCGATTCTGATAACTATATTATGAGGAGTTTGTGTATATAAGAACCATGTGAATATTGCTTGTTGCAGAAGGGAAAGTGATTGAAGAATATAGCAAAGAAAAGCCTTTGGGTTTTTATTTTTCTAGTACAATTATATTACGAGTTATGCCTAAATGGTAATAAATAAGGAGGGAGCAATTGGATATAATATTTATTTTCCAATTTTGTGTCCATATAACTTTTTTTTTTTTTTTTTTGTACACGGACCTTCCGGTTTCCGGATCCACATGGGTACCGACTAATCCGGAATCGAGCCGGGTAGGACCACAAGGACGGCAAAGCTCTATCTATCTATCTATTTTTTGTTTATAAATTACTTTTACAATACTCATCTATCTATATTTTTTTTTTCTCATTGGTCTATCCATCTTTTTTTTTCCAACTATGTTTGGTAAAACTAGTTGATAAGTTAGCTTATAGCTTATCAACAATTTTCGAGTTGGTAGTTTATGACTTATAGATGAAACATTAGCTAATAAAAGTGTTTGGTAAAATTAGCTGATAAGCTAGCTGAAATAAAAATTTTAACAGACTTGTTTGAAAAGTTACCCAAATAAACTTATGAGATAAGCTCGAGCTTTTTAAAAAGTCTCGTGTCAAACGAAATTTATTTTACAAGAAGATTATAAACTAACCAAATAAACTATAAGCTAGTTTGTTGGTCCAAACATAGCATATCAGGGGAAAGCAAGATTTAGACTGTATTAAAATTAAATAAAAAATAATTTTTCATGTAATCTTAAAAAAATTACAAGTAATAATAAAATATATAAAAATATAAATTACTAAATCCTTTTTTGTCCACGATATGTATAACTTATTTAATTTTTTATAAACTTTGTGTATTCAAATAAACTTGTTAAGGCTATTGTATACATCAAAATATTAATGTTTTTATTTATTTTTAAACTTATATTCAAGATAAATAAGATATATTATAAATATAGTAATTATTTATATCCACCAAGTCATAGTATTAGGAAAAAGATTGTATCAAATCACCAATCTAAATTGATGTCTTCTTCAATTTTCTAAAGTCAAAAATCACACCTCATTAATCAAAATATCAAGTTTAAGGACTCTCATAATTCTCTTAAAGATCCAATGTGTTCCTGAAGATCCAAGACATTCAAGTCAAGTCTAAGTCCCTCTCCAAGAACGATCAAAGAAGAAAGACTGTCAAGATGATGTTCAAGAACATATAAGGCATTCAAGTCAAGTCCGTATCCGTCTCCAAGACCAATTAAAGAAGAAAGACCGCCAAGAAAGTATTTGTGAACACCAAGACATTCAAGTCAAGTGCAAGTCCCTCCCCAAGAACGATCAAGAAGAAAGACCGTCAAGATGTCGTCTTCAACCAAGCCAAGTTGTAGTATGGAGCCGTTCTTTCTTTTCGTCCCGTCCCCTACTTCTACATCCTAGAGTCCTTCCCTCAGGTATGAAGCTCAGAATATTAGAGAAATTCAAGATCAATCTCTGGAAGAAATCATCCACGAAAGAAATCCATCTATGAAGATACAATTCCTGAAAAAGAAGAATCGGAGGGATTCCATATACAGATTGTACCCGCATAGTAGTTGGATCGAAATAAAATTAAATTGTACAAACGTTTATGTATTTTTATAACATTTTTTGGTATAAATTTGGCACGAAAAAACAAAATTTGTTGTTACTAATTCGGCAAGCTCATCATTGTTACAAATTTGGTATGCTGGTGGGACTCGATGTAATATTCATTATTACAAATTTGACGTTCAGTGAAACTCGACATAAAATCGTTAGAGTGAGTTCTTTTTCTTTTAAAAAAATGTAGTTTATCTCATAAGTTTCATTATGTATCTTTTCAAAAAGCCCCGCTGAAATTTTTATTTCAACCGATTTATCATCTAATCTTATCAAACACTTTTATTATATCAGCTAACTTCACTTACATTTACCAAATATAGCCTATATAAAAACTAACTAATCCCCCCTATATATAATTTATGAATGCGCTGAGTCAACGTGGCTGCTTCTGGTGCTTCAGAATCCTACTTGGCGAAAAATCATACTTCGTAATTAGGTTTGGACAAATAACATTGATATATTAATAATTAATAATCTAGGTTCGGACATTCCATAAATATTATTTAGTTAATTTAGGTATTTTAATATCACTTGTACTAATATAACCCTTTAATTCTTTGTAATTTTAATAGTGAGGCACTAAGTGATCAATATATCCCTGACTTTTGATTTTCTTCCTTCAATTAGCTATTGAATTGTAAATGTATTTAAAAGTTGATAACTTTTGTATTTCTTATCGGTTTTACAAATATAATATATCAAATTAATTATTTTTTGATGATCTTCGATTTGACATCTATATTGCATATATAAAATAAATAAATTATATTTATCTTTATAATAATAAAAAAATAATAATATTTATTAAAATTCATTAGAAAAATAAAATTATTTCTCAATTGATATATTTATGTTTAATATATTTATATGTTGTAAGTTAAAAAAAAAAAATGTATAATATAAGACATGTAAGCCACACAAATAAAAAGTGGCATACTAAGTATATAATAATATATATATATATATATTCTTATAAAAGGTATTTAAATTTCTAACTACTTTTTCTCATTAATTTTAGATTTTAAGAAAAAAATTAACAAGACCCATGTAATACACGGGCGTTGTACTAGTTTATTATGAAAACATAAGTGATGGTGGGAAACGTGCCAAAATTAATTAAATATTTCCTACAAAGTAATTTTCGAATTTTTTACAAAAAGAATAAAAAAGTTAAGTTCTGGACCAAAAGTGCAGAAAATAAGGGAAGTGGAAATAAACGAAAAGGACGTATTTTGCAAATACGTTTTCCCCACAATTTAAATGTAACACGTATTTCGTGAATACATTTTTCTTTATATAAATATTTGTAAAACGTATTTGCTAAATACGTTTTTTAATTAAATTTGTAAGGAAAATGTATTCTCTACATACGTGTTTTTTATTTCGGTCCACTTCCCTTTGTTTGTGTATTTTTTTGTCCACTTGTTTTTTTTATCATTTTTAATATATAAATTACCCAGTAATTTTCTTGTTATTAATTCAAGAATAAAAATATCAATGCAATCAAACTTATATAACTTTGGGTAAAATCAAATTCCTACTATGTGATTTTGTATTTGCTGCTAAGTGACTTCCATTATTAATTAATAAAAATATAAGTTAAAGGTTGGGTGCAAATTTGGTGTTACACTAACAACACATTCTTATAATCAAGTTTGCAATTATTTATTTAATTGGTAATAATGATCTCGTATAGTTTTCTAGAGAATAAATTTTATTAATTAACCAAACAGAAATTTAAATTCCATAAAATTTAATCCATGAAAGGCAGAAATATTATTATATCGAAATTTTGATAATGAAATAAAGATTTTTT